ATCATGTGGGAATCTACCTCCCCAATCCTGTGTTCACCCATGGCCAACTTTACGTAGCTGCATCAAGAGTTACCCAACCCCAAGGACTTCACTTTATGATAAAAGAAAAAGACCCCCTATACACACACCACACTCGCAATATAGTTTACAAGGAGGTCTTCAACAATATTACCCAGGTACACTACATAAACTACACTTTCAAAAAACAACCATACACAATAAACAAAAAAGGTGACTGATAAGTTCCTTCTCCTGCAGGAAAAAGACAATACAAGTCCAACACTGTAGAACGACAACATCACTAAATGAGGCATACATGTATGGAAATCCATTAATGAGGTACAAGTGCAACAACCCACTATATACCATCGACTAATACAAAACATACGAGTTATGCCCCCCTAAAACATTTTAAAAAACTTATTAATACAAACGTAAATACATAGACACATCTACTGCCGCCATTTATTTCAATATATTCTATTACTTTGGATATAATACATACATGAATACAAATACAAAACTCACTATGATTCTTCCAAACAATTAACAGAATCACTGTTTTGAAAGCCTTCAAACTTTTACTGCGAAACTATACAACCTCCTTACCTCAACAAAATACCGACAGAACATTCGATCTTAATATATGCAAAAAAACATATTTCCCCAATTGTCATACGTGATGGGGAACTCTTGCAGTCTTTACGAAACAAAGCCTATACTGGACCAGAAACTGTGCTTGGTGCTGAAAGGAATGCTGCTATTTTGACACCAAAAGCTGGTGCAAAGGATCCATGTGCAATTCCTTCAAAATGTCACATATCTGCTGCACTTCAGTCTACTGCAGGTGAGACCTTTCCTTTTTTGCACATAAAACACACACTTTATTACCAAAACAACCGTCTAGATAGGTTACATCAGATGTAACTTCAGGTGAGACCTTTCCTTCTATATGTCACATATTTGCTGCACTTTAAGATTACAAATATTTTCAAATGACAATGTAACTTAATCTCATCTATTATGCACTCTTTCTTAAATTTACATACTGGTGTATTTTTGGAAGAAAGTATTTGTTATACAAAAAAAAAAACACTTATGCATTTAACATAATCAAAAAAACAAATAAAGCAGAATCTTTTTTAAAAAATAAAATACAACACCATGCATATCGCTTCCTTTTGTCTTCCTGATCAATTTTGAAAAAAATTTCCTAATGCATCATCTTATTCAAAAAATAATAATACTGCCGTAAAAAAAAAAACTGCATTTATTAATATGCTCATTTTAGAACAATATGAATATTCTTTTAACATTGACTTTGGCATTATTTTTAAAACTTATAAACCCTTATTTTATTTTTAACTATGTTCATCTCTTATAATGTCTGTGCTTCCTCAGCCTTATCGCCACATCGATCTATTATGATGTTTGTTTACTCTTCAGGTACACAACATTAAACTGACAAGAGACAAAGGAATTTTACTACTTCATGATTCAAGTGACAAAGAAACTTAATCTCATCTCTTATGTACTCTTTCTTAAATTTTCTAAATGCAGTATTTTTTGAAGAAACTCTTTGTTATACTAAAAAAACTCACTTAAGACAACAAAAATATCTCAAAATAAAAATACCCCCTTACTCACATCCTTATGTTATTCAGCATAATTCTTAATCTGGGCCTTTGTATTTCTTTGTTCTATTTCCCCAACATCTGTTGCAACACTATTCACGTATCAAAAACATTCCTAATGGAGATGAATGCCTCTTGACATGGACATTTATTTATGCAAATAATGCTTGAAGCCATATAATAAAAAAATTTTGATCATAGCAACCACCTTGGCTACCTTTAACGGTGGTTTCTTTAATGCCCAAATACGTTGGAACATCATTCTGTAATAATACATCGACTTTACAACAACAACAACAACAACCCAGTTAAATCCCACAAGAGTAGGGTCTGGGGAGGGTGTGTGTACGCAGACCTTGCCCCTACTCGAAAGTAGAGAGGCTGTTTCCAAAGAGACCCCCGGCTCAACATCAAAAGTTGCAGTGTTTCACTAACTGCTACTTCATTAATTAAAGAAGCGCAGATAGTTTAGAGATCCATTTTGATTTATTCCATCACACCCAAAGCCAAAAATGGTGAAATTTTGACTCCGAAGGCCAACGTAATAGGATCGAAATCCTATAATGTTATCCCATGCTGTTGTTGTTGTTGTCTTTAGCTTAGGTTCTTTTTTATTACGACTAAAACTATTAAGACATATTGAAATGCCATAGTACTTGAATGATTCAGCACGGAAAATTTGACTTGGTTTCTTCACCTCAACCCATCTGTCGTCTTAAGACTTACGTCTTGAATAGTATTACGAGTATAGATAGTGTGACAAACAATTATACTTCGCACGGGGACAACAACTAGTTAATTTATTATTGTTAAGTAATCAATGCAGTGCTTTAATTTAGGAATTAGACAATTATTAGGGGCATAAGGGTCATAAAGAATAAGTAAAGAATCGTCATATAATAAATTCAAATGCATCCCCCAATTTGTGCGCTTACAGAATCGAGAATCGATCAGCCATCACAATAGAGAAGTTCAATTGGAAGCAAGGAATTATGACAACGAAGCCTTGTGCGATGGCGGTAGACGCATCAGCGGCTGTGGGAAGATTAGTTCAATTGCCGATAAAATCTGGTACAATTGAAGCAATCTTTTCTCTTTTCTTACGTCCAGTGTGTACAATTAGGCCTGCCATTGCATTTTGTAAAGTCTCCATCTTCATGGATTTGTTAGTCCCTAAATGCATTGTGCTTGTTCAAATGTGAGGAGTATGATCCTGATTATATTTGGGGGTATTTTGAACTTTGAATCATGTTTGTGAAAGAATCAGATTGTAATTGGTACAAAAGCCTCTTACATTTAGAGTGTTCTACATTTTTATATCCAGAGTTTGCATTTGGAGTGTTATGCAATGTACATATTTGTTAATGCATTGTAGTAAACCTAATTTTTTACGGAGTATGGTTTTTATTGGAAAAACCTACTCTTCGATGATCATGTTACTTCCATGAGTTTTGGGTGCAATTATGATGCATAAAGTTATTTTTTATTTGAAATAGTGCTAATAAATTTTGTATGAAAAAGTGATATTAGAAATGCGTTCTAACATGAATTAAATATCTTTTTTCTATACATATGGTTAGCTAAGTGTCATTAGCTCGGAGGAATGCCTCCATTTTTTCACTTTAGGTTATGTATTTATTTATTCATTGTGATTTACATAAGCTACATTTTGGGTTATTAAAAATGCATGTTATAAATGTGTAGCTATTGAGGGATGAATTTGGATTGCAGGAGTGAATGTTGTATGGCCACCCATATATGCAGTAGGATATGGATTATTAATTCGAGAGATTTGTGCTCTATATGTGTATTGCATTATTAACATCACGTATCTGGGTGAGTGTTTTGTTTTTGAGCTTATGATGCTGCAGTTGATTTGAATATGTGGGTGTTTAAAGAAAAAGTAGCTTGCATGAAGCTATGCGATAAAGGATATCATTTATGCACCGTGATCGCTTAATGATGCAAACACTTCGTGTCATTTATTAAAATCAAGATTGATTTCTCAATTTAATGATATGGATTTATGACCCAAAATTTTACAAGGAAAGCAGTTTGGTAGTTCGGACTTCGGAGCAACCCCATCGTTGTTAGTTTGATGTTGCTTTTCTTCTTCTGTTCATGCAATTACCAAAAAACACAGGTAAAGCGCAACCGATTTTTGTTTTTTTCGGGTTAGTGTGTACCGCTTGGACCGCCATTGCATATCTTTAGGAGTTTGATACTTCCTCCGTCCCATATCTTTCTTCTCACTTTCCTTTTTGGGTCGTCCCACTTGATTCTTCTCATTTCCTTATTTGGAAATAAAAAACACTTACAATGACCTATTTACCCCTCTTTATTCCTACTTACATTTACGGAGTATTCTATCATTAGTATGACATCACCTAACCCACCCCACTTTCATTATCTACTCTCTACCCCATTATCTCATTATCATCCACCCGGCCACTTTGCTTTCAATTTTCTCATTTACGGGCTACGAGTAAATCTTTCTCATCCACCCCACTTTTGTACTTTGTCACTATTGAGCACTATGCACTTTATTCTTTTGATTTGCTTTCTAAAAAGTGACGCCATGAAGGGCAAAATAAGGAACTCATCTCCTTTTTCACTTTACATTAAAACTCGTGCCAAGTCAAAACGAGAAGTTTCAACTTGGACGGAGGGAGTAGTTTTTAAATGCATTATGATTGTTCAATTGTGAGTATCTAGTTTGATTTTGATTTTGATTTTGGGGTATTTCAATTTTGTATCTTGTTCATGAAATAATTGAATTTGTATTTGTCTAGGTGTTAATGCCAATGACCTTTTATGTGAATATGAATGTAAAGTGGCATGTTGGGATGTTCAAAATGCATCATGTATGAACAATTTTTAAAAAATTATATCCATTAGAACTTTTGAGTGTGCATCAAAAGTAATCTGTTCAAATTTTGTTCAGTAGGTAATTGACCTTATTTTTTTAAAATACAATTCAATTAAAAGTATAATGCCTTTTATATGTTGAAGTGGTGATGTGTAATGCATTGTAATGAATTGGTGTTGCATTTTGTTAGTGGTTTGTTTGCTCAAAATTGGAAATGGACATTGAAAGTGTAAAGAAGTCGTATTACATTTTGATAGAACTTTTTAATAGAATCTCTGCTATAGAACATTTTTTAAAAATAATACTCCGTAATACTGTACTACATATTGAGCTTTGATTGTGCATTTGATATGTTCCCTCTTATAATAATGTACATGTTACTACAAAATATTACTTTTAATTCTATTTTTCATTTCAATAAAACCCCTTTAAAAATGCAAAGAATTTGTATTACATTTTAATAGAGCCTTTTTAGTAGAACCTTTGTTTAGAAATAATTTAATAATAATCATACTGCATCTTGCACTCTGACTGTCACATAAAAAGCAATCATATTGCATCTTAATTTAATCTTTTTCAAAATGCAAACCAATTGTATGCATGTTAATAAAACTTTTATTTAAAAAAATTTCAGAAGTCTAAAGAAACTTCCTTGCAATTGTAAACGAACCTATACATACATATAACAACCAACAACCAAGATCAACTAGTCTATATGTGCATTCTGCCTTAGTAGCCCAAGGTTAACTCGTAAGTAACTCGTCTAATGGCTAAATGAACAACCATACTCAAATAATTCAAACCAAAAGCCAGTTTCATTGTCAATTTCAACAATTGATGTTAGATTGAGTTTTTCGAATGAACATCATCCGTAGTGCAATATTAGTAATTCAAAGGACTACAATTGAAAACAGCATCTGAAAAATATATTTATTTTTGAGAAATAAAGTTTATTGATAAAGAAAAAAGAGCACAAAGAGCGAGAGACAAATCGAAGCCCCTAAAAATAAATAAGTTATAAGTAAAAAAGTAGAAACCAAAAGCTACAAATAAAAATCCCCAACCAAAAGATATGACAGCACAAACAAACAACATTTTCAAAGTAACAAAATCAGGAGCCTCTTCAATTTCCAAAATAATTAGACTCAATAAATAGGGTTGCATCAGCCATCAACCTTAATAGCCACCAACACCTACCCTCTTCATTTTGCAGCTATTTCCAATCATGCAAGAAATGAAGGCTACATTACAGTACCTGCAAGAGAAATAAAAAGAGATGCCAGCCTCTCTAACCACCTTATGTAGCACTAACTCAACCATAAGCAGAGTAGTACTTGAATCCTAGGCAATATTCTCATTAATAATCCACAGCCCTTACCCAAAGGTACTAAGCAATGGCCCTCTAAGTGTCAGTAGCAATGACTAAAAAGTCATTATTGTGCATGTGTTCTAGTAAATTTGTGCATAATATGTGTGACCTGATATTAAATATATATATATATATATATATATATATATATATATATATCCTTTTTTCAATTCGTTTGACCTCAAATCTTTTGACGGGATGCATTTCCATATTTGAATGTACATTTTTCACTTCAAGGATTTTCGCCATCTTTTGCTCCTTTGCTCTTTTCCATTTGCACAATCTTTTACACTTTTTACCACTTTTGACTCAATTTTTATTCTTTTTACAACAAGACATAACTTTTGTGCACTTTTACAATTATGAATAAAAACTTATAAAAACCATTGAGAAATTGATTTGTTTAATCCAAAATTGGACAACAACACGTTAAATGTAGAGAAGATAAGTGCGTACAAAACGGACTTATCAAATTCCCCACACTTAAGCGTTGCTTGCCCTCAAGCAACAAAGTACAACAACAAATGAAACTTTGGATCAAACACTTATTTACAAAAAGATTTTGGAAAAACTTTCGACCATAGTTTTAAACAGTTTATTGCACAAAACTTTTTTACGCTATTTATTTTTTACAAAAAGAACTACTAGAACTAGCATCCTTTTTACAAAAAAAATTAGCAAAATTTTTTTTAATTATTTTTCTAAAAGATGCACATAAATTAATTTTATTGGCTAAATGTAAAAGTTGTCCATTTACAAACTTGGATACTAAAGTCTAAAACAAAAGAATTGTAAGTGTTTTATAATAACTGCAAAATAATTTAAGGTCAAAAAGATGTACATTGAAAAAAAAACAAAATAAAAAAAACTTTTCTGAAATTATCATTTATTCCTATGCAAAGAGTAAGTTTGAATTTTTTTTGTAGAACATCACTTTGTCATGTTGACACAGGCAAAAACTTTGATCCTCATCCCATGACATAGAACCACAAGCTTTTTGGATTTTTATTCACTCAAAAACCTCATCACACGACATAGAACCGCATGCTTTTTGGCACTCACTTCAATATAAGTCTCATCATCTGACATAGAACCAAATGCTTTTTGACTTTGAATTCACTCCAGAACTTGGTCTCACCAAAGTGTGTTCTTTGAATTTTTTGATTCTTGATTTTTTTTTCAAAACTTACAATGCAATCATTGAAATATCAAATTTTCAGAAAAATATACTCCTCATACTCAATTTGAAGTATTGAAACAGCATCATTTTAAATAACAAGTTACAAATGTTTGACCTTAACGTATTTTACAAGTTAATATTTATTCACTAAATCAATGATTTATTTTCAACACATTAGTATCCAAATGTATTTATTTACAAAACTTATTAAAGTTAGCCAATAAAAAGACTATATGTGCAATTTAAAGAAAAAATTTTAAATTTTTGGCTAATTTTGCATAAGGAGGCTATTAAAAATAATTCTACCTATGAAAAGAGTAAAAAGTGTAAAAGAATTTTAAAAGTATCAATAGTGATAACAAGACCGATTCAGAGTATTCGGGATCGGGCAGAATGCTGCCAATTAGGTGCTCTTAGGCTCACCCGAATAAACCTTTCTACGAAATGACCCAGTACGAATGGTGGGACAAGTTCGGCTCCCAAAGGCGTCACCCTTTGCGTCCACTTAAGTACCATTCCAGCTTAGACAGTCATTCCGTACACGCTGTAGAGATCAATATTAATATGCAAAATGCAACAAAATGTATAAAAATATTTTCAAAAAGTTTTCCTACACAAAATATTCTGTACCAAACTCCAATCTCCCCACACTTAGGGTTGACCTCGCCCTCGAGGTCATTAAGCGATAAAAACAAGAGTTTGGGACAGAGATAATCTCAATTTGTTTTTCTTTTGAAAAAAAAATTTTACAAAAATTTTATGCACAAAAGTTAGTCATTTCTTTTTTTTGTTGAGTCAAAATGGTTCACCAGCATTCCTAATTCCAAACTCCACCTGCACACATAAACACACAAAACGCGTAAAAAGGAAAAAAAGAAAAAATAAAATTTATTCACTTGGGTTGCCTCCCAAGAAGCGCTTCTTTAACGTCACTAGCTTGACATTAGCCCGTTTTTTACGGGTCTTACCGATCCGAGAGTCATAAAGTTTGACCTTTTTGACTCTGTTCTGATGCCACCTTTGTTCTGTTCTTTTGTAGTCAAAGTCCAGGATCTTTGACTCATTCCTGCAGCGTGGTGGCAACTGGAAAAATGGAGGAGACTCGTCTTGGATGGGTGGTGGTGGGAGTCTCCTCAGTGTATCCACATCATTGGCTTTCAGTGCCAGGATTTGACTTTCCAAGTCCCCAATGGGCTGACTTTCAGTTGGTGGATAGATGATTACGACAATTCTTTCCCCTAAGTCTTCATGATCAAAAGGGTTGGTGATGGGTTCTAATTTCTCCAGAACAGGTTCCTCTGGAGAAGTGTCTTCAACACATGTTAGGAGGACAAGTTCCTCCAACGTTTCTGGTGCAGCTGGTGAAGGAGATTCTGAGACAGGACCCTCGTTAGGCTTCACCTCTTGTACAATTTGACTTTTCGGGCTTTCAGGAAGCATCACCACTGTACCTCGTGCAATCATTTCTGCAAGGGTTATCTTGTTCGTGATATACAGTGGTGATGAAGTTTGTTGATATTCAAGAATTGAGACATTGTTGGATTCAGTTTCAAATTCTGTCTCAAATTCTTCATCCTCTTCTAGAGCAACAATTTCCTCCATCTCTTCTTGTTGTTCCATAGCTTTCTTAAACTCCTCCAGCATCTTTTTCATATGCTCCCAATATTCGCGTTGTTCGTTATCTTTCTGGGTTTGGAGCAGTTGGCGTTCTTCTTTGACTGTTTTGAGAAATCGTTCTCTCGCCTGGATTGCATCTCTGTTTGCTTCGATTTGCTCTTCACGAGTCAGAGAGTAATCACGGCAATAGCGTGGTTCAAATAATGAACACTCCATTACTAATGCTAGGTCAAGATAAAGTATTCTTTTCTCAGTCCACAAAATCTCTTCAATAAGTGGATCTAGCTGGTCATCGTACATTGGCCCTTGTTCGTCATAATCATCTTGATCACCATGAGGTTCATAATAGTCCCCACAGTTGTCTTGGTATGGAGAATATCCAAAGCTCCGAGACGGGGTATTGTATGGTGCTTCCTCATAGTGTGGATAATAATCAGGTCCATTATTGACTGAGTAGTCATCATAATAGGAATCCTGATGTGGATAATATGGTGGTGGTGATGGTGGATAGGAATTGGACTGTTGGGAAAATGATGGTAGATGGTTGGGTGGTTGGTAGAAAGGAGGTGGATTGCAGTAATCATCTCGAAAATTCATTTTTAATGATTACTACGGGTGGCTTGTGAAAAAGAGGTGAGAAGATCGACCTAACCGGTCTTTACCTAAGCTAATTAAAAAAATTAAACTAAAACCGTGCCACTCCCCAGCAACGGCGCCATTTGATGATTGAGTTTTTCGGTAAGTCAACCTTCCCAATGAAGGGTTAGTTTTCTCCGAGTGTCGTGTCTCTCGAGGAGTGGACGAATGGAATTAGCTAATTTTTCTAACTAGACGAAGGTTTGGACAAGTCTGAAAGTCTTCTCGATTTGATTTGAAAATAAACTAAAGTACTAGGTGCTTTTTGAGAAAAAGAAAATAAATAGTACGGGTATAGGACTAGACTTCGGGCCAAGGCATCTAGACTCAATTGATGACAACAGTGTATAAATTAGTTATTAACCTTATTATTATAAAGACAGTGTTTATAAAGTAATTGAATAGGAGAGAGTTCCGTTGTAATTACACAAGATTTTTTCAAACCGAATTAATTAAAATATAGGAGTATCTGTTCCGTTTTTGATTAAAGGTTATTAATTAATTAAAAAGAGTCGACATAATTAATTAATTTAACAATAAAAATAATTCTAGAACAATTATTCCAACTATTAACTAAACATACAGAGTATATGCCCAAATTTAGCCAGGACCCTAATCTGGGCCTTAACCCATACTAGATATCAACAGTGCATAAAAGAAACGAACATTTTATTAAAATTGAAAGTATTTAAACTTACAACAGAGAGCAGAGTTGGAGCCACTTTGGGACAACTAGAACAAAAGTAAACTAAAATATTAAAATATAACTGAGAAAAGAGCGGAGAATGGAGTTCCGGGCCTTAAAGACCCGGATTGGAGCTTGATTTAAATGAAGGGGCGAAGCCCTCCTTTTATAGGAGAAAATTTCGGTCCAGGCACAGGCGTGGGCCTGAGGTGAGAGGCGCACGCCTGGAGTTAGTGCTGATGATTGATGATGTGCGGCGGATTTGCACAATGAGGCAAATCAATTTCTTTCTTGCGTGAAGTTCTTCTCACCTTCTTTATATTTTTTTTTAACTTTGTTGATTTGATGATGATGATTTGGAGTTGACACATGAAATTGGACACAACTCCCTTGCTGTTGCTGCCACAGTAGGCCGGCCAGCCAGGTTGCGCCATGTGGCAGCACCTGGTTGGCCGGATTTTGATCCGGTCCGAAAATATTTTTCTAAAAATACAGTCTTGCTCAAAATTTTATTCTAAACAACTTTTCCTTCTGCGCCGACTTCAAATTCCGAACCAATTTGGGTCAAACGAATTAATTTTGAATTGAATCAACATTTTTTACTTTTTCTTTTCAAACAATATCCTTTTTTCAATTCGTTTGACCTCAAATCTTTTGACGGGATGCATTTCCATATTTGAATGTACATTTTTCACTTCAAGGATTTTCGCCATCTTTTGCTCCTTTGCTCTTTTCCATTTGCACAATCTTTTACACTTTTTACCACTTTTGACTCAATTTTTATTCTTTTTACAACAAGACATAACTTTTGTGCACTTTTACAATTATGAATAAAAACTTATAAAATCATTGTAAACATGCACCAAGACTCCAAGAGCAATGCATTGCCTCTTAATCGACATGCAATGAGACACTATGGGGTAATGGGGGTGACGCTACTAGTCTTTTTCTTATAATATATATAAACTTTATTATATATCTATCTATTATTTAAAAAGACATGGATTTCCATTGTTCTTTCCCCACCCATTTCATGGTGTAGAGAATATGGTAATTCTTCACTCCATTTGGTAATTACTAAATGGTAATTAATGGATCATTAAAATAACCATGTATAAAAAAGGTTGAAAAAGGTATAAAAAACCGTGTATAAAAAAGGTAACGAATGCTTAACTAAAAATGGTAATTTAATATAACCGTGTAATTAAAATGGTAACGAATGTTAATTTAATATAAACGTGTGTAAAAAATGTAACGAATGGAAATTTAATTTAGTTACCGTAATTGAGTAATTACTCAATTAATATTACCGTGAATATAAAATTAGTGTAATTGTGATCAACATATAACCGTGTAATTTAAATAACCGTGTATAAAAAAGGTATAAAACCGTGTATAAAAAAGGTAACAAATGCTCAACTAAAAATGGTAATTCATACTTTATTTAAAAACACATGGAGTCAACCTTTGTTTTTCCCGCCCATGCATTATTACATTAACAAGTGGCAATTGTTCACTTAAAATGGTAAGTTTCTGAAAATAATATAATAATAAATATTAAAAACTTACGCATGTGCTTAATTCTCCATGCATTATTACATTTACAAAAATGGGAATTATTCACTTAAAATGGTAATTTTTATTACATTAACAAATGGCAATTGTTCATTTAAAATGGTAAGTTGCCAAAAATATAATAATAATTATTAAAAACTTGCGCATGTGCTTAATTTTCCATGCGTTATTACATTTTCAAATGGCAAATTAATTATTATGAAGTTAAAATTAATATTAGTTTTTACACACAATGCCTTTAAAAACGTGAAATTATATATCTAAAAAATAATTATTACATAACATTAATAATCTTAAAAAATTAATTTAAAAAAATGGTTTAAAAGCTATAAATACAATTCCTTTTTTTATCACACTGAATTTATCAATTCGTACGGAGTGTTCTAATTATACAATTTTGTACGTTATTTTAACCTCTTTTTTTCTGTAGGGGCGTTTGGAATTTGTTCTTTTTTTATCACATGGTATTTTAATACCGTAATTGTCATTTTTATACACCCAATTGGAAATAATTACAAAAGATAAGTTATACAATTATACACCAATTTCGCAAAAAAAAAAAATTAGAAATAATTAAAAGGTAAGTTATACAATTATACACCCAATTTCACAAAAAAGATAATTGGAAATAATTAAAAAAGGTAAGTCCCAATTTCCTTTTGAATACAAACAGTTTTATCTCCAATTTTTAAAAATTACTTTTTAAAAACGTGATATTAATAATCAAAAAAATAATTATTATTATTAATCTAAAAAAATGGTTTAAAAGCTATAATAAATACTCTTCCTTTTTTATCACATGGTAATAACCAGTTTTAACACGTAATCATTTTAAAAAAGGAATACATATAATATGACACCGTTTATAATTGTTCATTAATTTTAAAAAAGAAACAAATAATATGACACCGACAATTGGTAATTAATCCATACTTTATTTAAAAAGACATGTAGTCAATATATGGTTTTCCCGCCCAAAGAGTATGACAATTATAAATGGCAATTACGAAGTTAAAATGGTAAGCGGCTGAAATTATAGTAATAATTATTATAATTAGTATATTTATAATAATTAAATAAAGGTAAGTTAAAACAATGATGTTTTTTACCTTAAAATAATTAAATATACTATAATTATTCTCAGAAATTGTACAATAATGTAGTCTATAAAGAAATATTTCGAAATTTGTAAAACAATGATGTTTTTTACCTTAAAATAATATAATCTCTTTATTTTATTGCATCTCATTTTTATCATTGATAAATGATTTAAATTTAGTAACATAAAAATGACCCGTGCAACGCACGGGTGTGATACTAGTACTTGTGTAAATTAAGTGTCATGGAAAGTTTTGGGGTTCTACTAATTAAGCTATAAATTGTGCAAAATTCCAAACATAAATTTGAAGTGGGTTTACTATTAAGCCCTTGGTGAAACATGCTGTAGAAGCCTAATGATTATCATTTATGGCTTTCCTTTCTAATTGATACTCCTTCTGTCTCGGAGTATTCGTCCAGTTTTGATTTTTGGAACTGTTCATCTAAGCACTTTGACTCATCAAATTCTCTCAATATGTAAGCCTAAATATAGTCATGTGTGATCTTGTTTGATTTGTCTTAACATATAGATTATTAATATATAATTTCTATAATGTTTTAATATACAAATTACAAGATAAAATGGATTAAAGAAGTGTATTGGATGGTGTGTAAAAATAAAAGTGGACAAATACTCTGGCCGTAGGATGATAGATTTTGAGAGTAAGATTTTTTTTCTCATTTCTTTCATGGAAGGTCATTCAAAAATTAAGAACATGAATTTAAATGAAATCTAAAGGATAAATCACAACGCATATATCAGTCGTCACCATGCATTACGAAAAGTGGGATAACAAATTCATCTTTAATTTTAATAGAGATGACATGACTATATTATTTTATAAAATGAGTAACGAAAATAAATAAATAAACTAAAAAAAGTTTGACTCTATAAATAATAAACATATAATTTAAATTGAGTACAAAAAATTATACACAAATAAATAGTGTAGTAAAAAGATTGAATGAAATTAACATTTTAATATAATAAATATGGGGGATTGGCCGTTATTGCATTAGAGAAGAAATATTTTTTATTCTCATTTATGCCCTTGTTAACTACTATCTCCCTACTTTTAAGGAATATAATTAATACTTAGCATCTTTATGAGTCACGAATATTGAATACGATGCAAAATCTTGGCCATCCAATTCATCTCAACGAACGGATGATATATATATATATATATATATATATATATATATATATATATATATATATATATATACATATATATATATATATATATATA